CATCTCATGAGAAGAGAATACTCCCTGGAAAAGACCCTGATGTTGGGAAAGAGTGAAGGCAAGAGGAGAGAAGGGGACGACAGAGGATGAGATGGCTGGACATTGTCATCGAAGTGACCAACATGGATTTGACCCAACTCCGGGAGGCCGTCACGAAGAGTCGGGCACGACTTAACGACTTAATAACAAGGCTTTTTTTAATTCTGCAAACTCTGCCTCTCCCCGCCAAGGACTGTCCTCTTGAAAGTCAATGCCTCCGGAAAGTGAGAAGTAAAATGGAAGTGTTTTGGGTTTACGGCATCGAAGGACCGACTTCCAGAGACATGTTCTGAAGAAGGATGATGGAAACCTTTTAATGCACCCCCCTCTTTTGCTTCGGCCAAACCCGTCAGGCCGTTTCGTCCTGCTCTCTTGCCCCAAGCTTGGGGGGGGGGAATGGATGGAGACAGCCCCCATCGGAAACCCAAGGCGCTCCTTCGCCGCTCTTCGAGGCATCAAGTGGCGCTGCCTCCCACCGGCTCTTCCTGAGAATCGGGCCTCGACACGGTGGCTAAAGTCAACTGGTCTCCGGCCAGGATGTCCTGGCGGTCTTCGGCCACCGGGTCACGGGCGGGAGCGAAAAATTGGATGACGGCGCGGACTTCCCGCAACTGATGCGCCGTTTCCAGGGTGGCCGCCATGGCTAGCAAGCCCACGAGGAGGTAGCCTGAGAGGGGAGAAAAAAAGGAGTCAACGTCTTAAAATCAGCCACGGTGCAGGTTTTCTCCGAGGTTCCCCTTTTTCACCTCCACCTCCCTGGTGTCTCGCCCGCCTTTATCTCCTGTCCACCCTGACCAAGACGCCAAGATCGCCAGGCGTCTCGCGCAGGAGAATTCGCGCAGAACCAATTTTCAAAGAAATAAGCCCTGTTGGTTCCTCTTGGCGAAAGGAAAAACAAAAATTAAGGCTTGTGGAACCTTTGAAGACTTTAAATTTGGGGGTCCTTGTCCTAACAACCAGGCCAGGGCCAAAAAAAGGTTAAGAACCACTGATCTAAATCTTAAGGTCTTAGAACTCCAGAGCCAGAAGGGACCCTCGAGATCATGGAGTCCAGCCTCTAATCAAGGAGGCCCTGAGGCGGGTGGATTCGAACTCCCATCTTCTGGCACCGCAAGCAGAGATTTGACTCCCGGAGTTCTCTGAGCATGTTCTATGTGGCTACTGGAGTGGAATCCATAGGTTTCCATAAGCGTCCATTGCTGAGAAAAAGGGGTGGACTTGAAAGGGGGATATGGAAGCTATTCTTTTCTGTGAGCCCCCTGTACAGCTAGAGGAATAGGGGGAAAGAGGGGACGCCTGCCTCTCCCCAAAACAAAATTAACACCCCCACCTTCCCCCCCTCCTGGTGACTTACAGGTGATGCTGAGTTCATACAGCACATGCGCAGGCGATCCAGAGTTCCCTTGCGACGGCACGTGGTTGCCGAAGCCGATGGTGCTGAGCGAGATGAAGCAGAAATACACCGACTCCAGGAAGCTCCACCGATCCTCCGCCGCCCAGAAGCCGATGGCCGGGAGGAGGATGAAGAGGCCGAGCGTCGCCAGCCCCAGCGCCACGGCGTGGCCCAGAGCCACAGGGCCAAGCGGGAGGCCCCAGCGGGCATGGAGGTACCGCACGGGCCGGTGGCTCAAGAGGGGCACCAGGAGCCGAAGCAGGTCGGCCAGGAACAGGAGGGTCACGGGGATGCCCACGGCGGCGTAGAAGAGGCAGAAGATCTTGCCCCACTCGGAGAGGGGCACGGTGTGCCCGTAACCTGCGGGCAAGAGGGGAACGGACAGCGGGTGAAGTCTCGGCTTCTGCGTCTTCCGAGGCACCCGAGCGAGGGATGGATGGCTCCTGCTCGCCAACCTGGTCTGCCCGGTTGAACGACAGGGTGCTGCTATTATGGGCTGTTTGCTTCCTCCTCCAGGTGACCTCCTAGGGCTGGTCCTTAGCCTGTCCTACCTCTCAGGGGGGTGGCGAGGATGGGGCAAACCCTGCGCTCCACCTGAAGCTCGCTGGAGGGAAGGCAGGCGAGGACTTAACCAGCTGAGTAACACAGGAGCGCACTGCGGCGTCGCTCTCGAGCCCAATAATGAAAAGAAACTGGAAGAGGGAGCTGCAACCTGACGGACCACGATCGGGATCAAGGGGTAGTTTCTACATACAACAGGACCACCTTATCCACGGGATCAGTATCCGCTGATTCACTTATCCACTGTCTGAAAATATTTTAACCATTAGAGATCTTAGAAACAGGTATTTCTAAAGGTGAGGTTACCCAAACTGGCCACTAGATGGAGACAGAGACCGTGCTAGGTATAGCATCTACTAATAAAATAGGCCACTAGATGGAGACAGAGACCATGCTAGGTATAGCATCTACTATTAAAATGGGGTTAACTATAATACACTTGTTTCTGTATCCGTGGAGGGACATGGAATTGATCTCCCCACACACACACAGCTATGGAATGATGGATCTGGAGCACAGGAACAGCACAGCCAAAGACTTAACATTCCTTAAGTAGGCCTTCCCTTCGGACTCCCAGGTGGATCTCCTGAGAGCCCCAGCAGCTCTTGATCCTGCAAACACTGGAATCTTCCTGGGACCAAGCTGGGCCCAATCCTGCAACTGCCAGGGCGGTGGTGCAGGGGACGCCCTACCGCCACCTGGATCCTGACATCATGTTTTCCTTGAGTCCTCTGTTTTTGTTCCCGAGTTCTCCCAATGCTCTAAGGGAGTCCGGAACCCAAAATCCACAAGGCTGGGCACTCATGAGGTCCTGCAAACACTGGAATCTTCCTGGGACCAAGCTGGGCCCAATCCTGCAACTGCCAGGGCGGTGGTGCAGGGGACGCCCTACCGCCACCTGGATCCTGACATCATGTTTTCCTTGAGTCCTCTGTTTTTGTTCCCGAGTTCTCCCAATGCTCTAAGGGAGTCCGGAACCCAAAATCCACAAGGCCGGGCACTCACGAGCCAATGGGTCAGCCAGGGGAAGGGAGCTGCCGCCACATCCACAGGGAGATTGATTGGCATTCAATATACATATGCAAAACCAAAAGCATCCATTCTAATTTAAACAGGTTTCAAACAGAATGTATGAAATGAGAATTATAGTTGCGTTTCAGGAGATGCGACCACGTAACCCATGTGTCTGCTGCTGCGTCGGATATGCAGGTGCTGCTTGTGAAGAAGTCGAAATCCTGAGGAATGTGAAATACTGTATGAAATTTGGCGTCTGAACTTTTCTATGTTTCCAAGACCATTATGAAAAGCTGACTTATAAGGAAAGAGGTCAGCTTGTAAACAGATCAATTAAGGTCCCCATTTTTATCTCCTGTTCCTGGATACTTCTAAGAAGTATACTCACCAGATGTCACCCGTCCTTTTCTAAGATAGGGCACCGATAAAGGACTGTATGCTTATCTTTTATGTATCGAAGCAGCCTCCACAAGGAAATAGAATCAGTCTGCTTACTTCCTCCAGGGTAAGGCAGGCTTTGTTTGTAGACTGATCAAAGGGGATTAAGGGTTATTGAGGAATTGTGGGGACCGGGTGTGAAAATGCCCTGTTGACTTGCAGAGAAAAGACTTAAGAAAATGTGTTTGCACCACAGTCTTTCTGGAAGGAGAGACGGTGTCTGAGCGCCATTTACAAAGCTATGTAGTCTAACCTTTTGTAGAGGACCCACCCAGGATTTATTTCTCTCTCGCTCTTCATTTAGGTGTGAATATGAGATTGGGAGATTAGCTTTCTTAATTTCCGGGGTGCTATCCTTGAACGTTATAAACCCATAACCACAATTTGCTCCTGTATTTTGAGTAAACTTTTCTTGTAACCGTTTGGAGCGTTTGTCCTTTTAAATAAATAAAAAAAATCCTTACACATTATTGTCTTGATTTCCACCCAGAGGATCAGCGATACTAAACTCCAGGTCTTAACCTCCGCCAGCTGCTGAGATTCTTGGGTGTCTTCTATGGGTGTGGTGGCGGCTACCTTCCTCAGGCTGGTGCACTGGCTAGTGAGTGCCCAGCCTTGTGGATTTTTGGCTCCGGACTCCTTGACCAGGGGATAATGAAACTGATCACGGCGGATGACAGGGTCCCCAGCCTCTCTTCTAAGGGTTCCACCTCTTTAAATCAGGCATGGACAAAGTAGCCTATAAAAGGGGACATGAGGCCAAACTATGCAGAGGTGGTGCTATTCTGGCTGACTCATGGTAAACAGAAAAGAGGTTAGAACATGATTCAGTGTGGAGTATCCGATAAACTGTCAGACAAAAACTCAGGATACCTGGGTTCGAATCCCCGCTCGGCCACGGAGACTTAGTCGGGTTTGTGTGTGTGGCAATAGTAAACCACACCTTGAACATTTCACATACTTTTAAAGCAGAAGTGAAGCAAAGCGTGCTGCTTATATTTCATGTCATGGCACATAAAGCACTCTCTGGATCGTTTACAATTTTTAATTATTTATTTCTCCCTCCCCCTGCCTTGAGCTGGGTACAGTGGTGACTCGCTTAACGACGATAATCTGTTCCAGGAAAATCGCCGTTAAGCGAAAATATCGTAAAACGAAAATAAAAACCCTATTGAAACGCATTGAAACCCATTCAATGCGTTCCAATGGGGTAAAAACTCACCGTCCAGCAAAGATCCTCCATACGGCGGCCATTTTCACTGCCTGTATAGGGAGGGATCCATCCCTAAACACAGTGGGGAGCCATTTTAGTTACCTAGTTTTGAAACCGCCGATCAGCTGTTTAAAAATAATCGTTTTGCGAAGAATCGGTTCCCAAAGCAGGGAACCGATAATCGCAAAGCAAAATTCCCCCATTCAGACCATCATTTTGCGGTCGCAATTGCAATCGCAAAAAGATCATCGTTAAGCGGTTTCGTCGTAATGCAGGGCAATCGTAAAGCGAGGCACCACTGTATTTGAATTATTAACGTCTGAAAGATGGAAGGGTGAGTCTACCTTCAGCCGGCTATATCTGTGAAAGAGAGGGGAGTGTCAGCCAGCAGAGAACAAATATTAGTGTACATAGACATGGATGTGTGTTTACACGCATGGAACAAGGGAGGAAGGTGTTGTAGAAATCTAACACCAAGTGTTGTTTCGGGTCATCCTGACACTGGAAACGTAGCTTGTGGCCGTCCAGGATAACAATGGCGTCTAAGTGACCACCGGACCGTGATGACCCCGTTTGTTAGCACTCAAGACTCAAAAACCACACCGTGTTCCTCGCTATGCACGGCTAGACACGATCGCAAGAAGAAAGAGGGTCATTTTGAAACAGCCACCTCGTAAAAAGTCTACAGATAAACTGGAGCACTTCCCCCAAAAAAGTGAGTTGAGTGCGAAGGGCTGGAAAGGGCAACCCAGCGCGTTGGGATCACCAGGGACGAAGTTCGAGGATGTCTTGATTCGAACGGATGGCCTGACATGCCCTTTCAGGCAACTTTCTACCTGCTGGGAATAGTTTCAGCATCGCAATAGCTGGGCAGGTCGTGGGGGAGAGGCCACCCTGATGCACTCCTGTATGGAATAGAAAATTGAGGAGCTAGCTGGACGTTGAATCAAGGTCCGTTAGCTTTACAAAAGAGCTGCTCCTGGCAGAAAGGGAAACGCCAACGATGGTTTCATCGAGAGGGATTTACCCTCCCCTGTAAATTTCCTACATGGGTCAAATTAATTGAGGAACTGGACTCCTCATTTCGTTGGGCTGGCCACCCCAGTTATTTTAAAAATAAAAAAAAAGTAAAGAAACTGAAAGACGGCTGATGATGAGACTCAGAAGGGCAGCCCTGAAGGAGGAAGAAAAGATGATTGTAAGGACGACACCAAGATCTTGTATTTCCGATCATCCCGGATGGGTGTGAAAGATGGAGAGTGAAGAAAGCTGACGGGGGGGAGAAAAAGCTGATTTGTTTGAAAGGTGGTGCTGGAGGAAGGAGAGGTTTCTGCAGGGATTTCTGGACAGCCAGAAAGAGGAACGAGTGGGCAGCTAGACGAAGCCAAGCCTTAAACGGTGCCCAAAGTTGGACATTGTGACAAGGCAAGATCTCCCTAAAAAAAATTAAAAATTAAAAAAACCTCAGGCTGAGAAAATCAAAAGGCCACAGGAGAGGAGGAAGACGAAAGGTGAGATGGACGGACTCCCTCAAGGAAACCCCAGGCTTGCAGGAACTGAGGAGGATTGGCTTTTTGGGGGACACGAAATCCAGCCTCTCTCAAGTCCCAGCGAAACCCTCTCATGACAGCCTCAGGCCTTCCTGCAGGTCCCTGAGAGGGGGGATGCTTGGCCCCGGTATTCTTCCCGCGGAACAAAGGGGTCAGTCTGAATGTCCTCCAGGGTTCCCCTCCAGCCTTTCTAAGACTCTTTTTGTGGTTTGCTCTCCGGGGCAAAAGAAAAGAGGAGAGGACAAAAATGCAGGGAAGCCACATTTGAGGACTACAATACCCAAAACCCCCACCTGGCAGTGTCCTCAAATTCCCTCCTCATTCAAGTCAAAGCAGGAGGGACCCCAAGACACGATCTACAGATATTCTGGATTTCAACCCTCCCCGAATCCTTCACCCATCATTGCCACGGGCTGTGGCTGCTGGGATCTGTAGTCCCAGGACGGAACTTGACCGAACTCTTCAAGAGAGCGCCTGATTCATGATCCCAAGGACTTGGGGAGGGGGAGAGACACCTTCTTCTGCACACACACACACCCCAGGCTTAATCAGGGCATCCGGCCAGGTGCTCGGTCTTCCCCGGTTGGTTTCCCGCCTGCCTGCNACCGGTCAAGCTCGGCGGGCCCCTCCAGGGCGGCCAGGACAGCAGCGCCCCCTAAGAGGTAGAGCCCGTAGGCGCCCAGCAGCAGCGCATACTGCCAGGAGCGCGCCTTGGCCACTGGCACCTTCGCCATCCTCCGGCCCAGTGCCAGGGAGGGAGGTTGCCCGGCCAGCAGATCAAGAAAGGCGGTGCTGTGTCCTGGGCGGGGAGCAGTCGGCCCGGCCCCGGTGTTGACCCTGCTCCCGCGGCCGCCTGAGGCTTGCCTCCGCCCCAGGGCTGCGTGCCAGCCTCTCCACCTCCGGCACACCCCATCGGCAGGCAGGACAGCCCACCTGGCTGCATCCAGCGGTGGCTGCTCCCTGGACGTTCATCAGGACAGGTAGACTGCTCCTGCACCTGGAGGCTTTGCCGCACCAAAGGTATCCAAGCTCCGGCTCCTCCACAGAAGGGCGGCCCATGTGTCCCAGGAAGGATCCCCCCCCTCCGTTCTGGCTGCTGCTCTCTCTCTCCCATCCATGCCAGTTTACTATTTACAGGTAAACTGCTCCTCGGCTGGAGGTTTGACTGCCCTCTTCTCCCGAAGGGCTTTGAAGAGCAGGCTCTTCCTGGATTGGACAGGCCATGGCCTGCTACCCATAGTGGTGTCCGGGGAGTCTCCAGATGTTCTTGGGACTACAACTCCCAGAACCCCCCCACAACCAGCAGTGGGAGTTGTAGTCCAAAGCAAGGTTCCCAGTTCTGAGCACGGGTCTTCTGATGGGTTAGGTCAGCTTTCCTGTGGGGTGCAGGTCCCATGACCTCAGCCCTCCTGGCCTCTTTTGGGTGAGCAGGGGCTGATGGGAATTGTAGTCCCAACACACTCGAGCAGCCAGGTTTGAGATTGGACTTCTGGCTTCCCTATTTTCTAGACTTTGGGGAAGGAAGATGTATTTTTCTCAGTCTCCTCTCCACCGTATGCATCCTCTTGCATCCTGACACCAGCCGTTGGTTCTCCTGTAGTGGGCCATTTGCTGGACTACAACAACCATCACCCCCAATTGTGCTGCCTAGGATGATGGGAGTGGTAGTCCAACAAGGTGTGGACGGCCAGTCCTGGTTTCGCTGACTCTATGCCGCTCCAGACGGTGTTGCTTTTCCTACACAAAGAAGGTCACTGCCGGATAATAAGGAGCTGTCTTCAGCCACAGGGAATGATTTATGGAATTAAAAACGCAAATCTATACAGTACATGATTAATTTAATGACTTATTGTTGATTTCCCTTGCTTCCAGGAAGGGGGGGGAAAGCAGCAATCACAGCATTTTCTATTCTCAAGAGCCACAATAACTGGGCTGGCCTTAAGAGTGATGGACCCCAAAATTGCACGGCTAAGCGCTGGTAGACTACTCCTGCCTCTGGAGGTTCAACTGGGCTTCTCCTGTTTCAGCGTTCTCGAGACTTTGCCTTCCCTACAAGAGCCCGGACGGATCTCACGCGTGTGGCCCATCTTGCCCGACATCTTAGGGACCTGCTATCACCCATTTTGATGTTTAAAAGGGGGTGGACCCCCACGTGGCCCACTGGGGCTGCTTTACTGTGGCCCTCTTTTTCCCAAGCTAGAAGCAAAAAAGGTGAATTTGCTGTTTCTCAAAGCCTCCAGGAAGGACTTGACTTTTAAATGCACAACCGCCCTGTTTAGCATCGGCAGGCACTCCGTTTTTAAAAACTGGATGGCTCGCACGCCCCCCACTTTATCTCCACGATCCCAAATCCTCTTGCGTTTTTAATAGTGGCACAACACGCTTGGCCTAAATC